AACACTCCCCACTGCATTATTTTTCCCCCCTTTCTGAAAGAGATAAATTCCTAAATTTTCAAATTCCTGCAGACTTCTTGTGTTCGGGTGTTAACGAAGGCCTGGTGCCTGATCACCTTTTTTAATGGCACCCACAGTAGATGTTCTTGGGAGCCCACGTACTGCCAAGGCACAGGCATTGTGGCGAGGTGGGTTGCAAGAAAAAACAAATTTCTTCTCTTGCTTTTGCTGGTAACACAACTAAACCAAACTAAACTAAACCTGAAGTAAAGTCAGCGACAGGTTTCTCCCAGCCACCAGCCCCAGCTTTGGCGCAGACAACAGCAGTCACCTGAACTGCAATCATCCAGAGCTCCTGTTAGCTAAAGCTGGGTTGTGTCCCTTAATTATCAAAGCCACCCACTACCTACATGTACTCAAACCGCCCTGTGACACTCGTCCCATGCTTGTCCCACGCTTTGGTGCCAGGGCTGCATCACATCTCTTACCACTCTCTCGAAGTGCCCTGGAGATGAAATTAGCACCCTGCTGTCAGCTCCTCACCTAGGTTATTAACCCTTACTATTTTAAAGAAAAGGCAATATGGGTATTTTTTTCTTTTTCCAGGCAAAGCTAGTGCTATACACTTGTAACAGTAGTGACCAGCTACCACGGCATGCACTAGGATTACGGCTGGACTACTTACTGGTAAGCAATCACCAGATGTTTCCCAGGTCAGATTGCTCTGAGCTCCTTGAAGCTCTCGGTTCTTTCCCAGACGTGTTCCCATAGGAGATTGCCCATGATTTGACTTTGCTGCCCACTTTGGGTTCAGTCTCCTTTGCTTTCTGTCTTCAGTAAAGGCAAACAGGCTTTAAAACCTACTTTATGGAATATTTGCATAACCACAATGCCAGAGACCTAAAATTATGGTGCTTCAATGCACCGGACTTTCCTTTCATGTGGCTATCCACTCAACAAGCCCATGCGATGTAAAAAACTGGAGCCTTCCTACAGTGGACATCCATTGCAAACTAGGGTCCCAGTTCTGCCAGAACCTACCTTTTTCTACACTGTGAGCACTTTTTTCACATTTTTTTTTCCTAATAATCTTTTATTTTTCCAGCAGTTTTCAAATTTGGCCAGTGCTAAGACAAGTTGACTGTGGTGACAGCTGGGGGAGGCTTTGAATTTTCCAAAATGATGCATAAATGCATAAGAAAAATCCCTTAGATGAAAGCAAAAGCGGAAAGACAGAGACCAAAGCGGACTGCTGACCTCGCATCCACAGATGTGAGTTTCATTTAAAAGCGAATTCAGGTTTTTTTACCGGACCTTTTGAAGCAAGGTGTGCACGAACATGCCAAATCCTGCAGCCTTTCCACTCTGGGAGCCTTCCTCCAGATGTTCCCTCTATGCTCCCGACTTGCTGCCTTGTTTTTTTACTCTTTTTGAAGTGGTGTCCCATTTCCTATGCACAAAGACCATTCCGTGTTGTATTTTGGAGCCCAATTAAAAATATCATAATGATTTCTGCTTAAGATCTGGCTCTGCTCCTGGCTGGCTCCGGCTCCCTTATGCTTTTGGGGCCTCTTGGGCAGGAACTTGCTGGTTTACAGAGCAGACCAGCATTTGTCCAGAAAACGTAGCTGTGCAACCTGATGGTTAGTCAATCAAAACAAACCGTTGCCACGCTAAAAAGTGAGTTGTAGTGGTGGCTTTCAATGAAAAAGTCCGCAGCTCTTCACGCCAAGACACAGCCATGCTTATGGTCTGCGGCTGCTCCCCTGTCCACGAGCAGGGATGGCCAGCATGGTCTTCCCAGGGCGGTCCCCACCCCATCCCACCCATTGGGAAAAGCCAGCCAAACCATTCCCAGCTCGTTCATCAACCCCGAGAGCACCGCACAGATCTCCACTTTGTTCTGGCCCTCTTCACAGATGTGCACACTGCCGTGGGCTATCAAAGCCGCATGCTCCAGCCGACGAGTGATTTGCAGCGGAAACGGGTTTGGCTGCAGCTCCAATTTGTTCCCGGGAACGGGCTTCTGACCCTGCCGAGGTCCCTGGGAACGCTGCCAAGCTCTTCAAAAGGGCCAGGCCTCGCTTTGTAAACTCACCTCTGGGGTTTGGCTTGCAAACACCTACAGAAGTGTCGGTCGTTCAAGAAAGATGACGGAGGGGAACAGGGCTCAGAGTCCAAAGGGTGATGCTGCACGAAGTACGTAGCTGAGCAAATGCTGCTGCGGAAACAGCGTGAAGAAGTTGACGAAGCGCAGCCCTGCCCTCGTCTGCGGCGTCAGGGCAATGGCTAGGAGGCTGGATCAGCCTGGTGTCAGCTATCGTAAAAGGGTGACAAAATGAATGGTCTGCAAGAGGAAGGGACTGGCGGCTTGCGCGTGCTGCTTAAATGCTACCTCCACCTGCCACAGCCTCCACTGATTTCCCAGTGGCGCTGGGCACCAGCCAGACTGGAACGAAGTGTGGTGCCTTACCTGGGAGGAGGGAGTGGGCTGCGGGGGGTGGAAGAAAATGGTGTAAATCTGGTGATTGCAGGGGACAAGAGAAAAGATAATGGGGAGCAGTGTAAATGCCAAGCCGGAGAGGTGGGGTGCCCCGCGAAGAGGAGGCAGGGAGGGCTGGCAGTGGTGGCGCAGAGCCAGCCGGATGTGGGGCCTCAGACGGAGCTGGTGGGCTGAGGCTCTGATGGGGTGACTGGGGGCCGGGGTCCAAACCTGGTGCCCGTGGGGTGCCTGTGGAGGCCGGCAGCAGTCTGCCCCAGGCTGGGCTCGGACCCCTCTGTGCCGGGGGGAAACGGTGCCATGGCAGACCCAATGTGGCATGGACGCCCAGGGCCACGACCAGACGGGCATGGTTTTGGGAGCATCGTGTGCCCCAGAGTGGATCAGAGATGTGGCAGGGAGGGCACACAGGGGCAAGACGGGGGTGCACCAGGTGCCAGCCTCCCCGGGGGGGCGGGGGGCGTGGCTATTCCTACCGGGCAGAGGAAACACACGGGGCGGG